CGCACTATCTGGATCCCGTCATCGGCAACCTGGGACACGTGGACATCGAATTCAAGGTATTAATACACGTAGACACCGAAAACTACGGAGCGCACTATGTAGACCTCGTCATCGGCAACCTGGGACACGTAGACATCGAATTCAACGTATTATTACACCTGGATACCGAAAACTATGAAGCGCACTATCTGGACCTCGTCATCGGCAACCTGGGATACCTAGACATCGAATTCAAGCTTGATTCATAAGAAACGGCTTAAAAATTCCCTAGCGACACTTTCTGCCAAGCGTAGAAAACCTTCTTTTCCGGCAGCGGTGGTAATACGATGTAAGGATACGAAATCTCTCCAGATAAACATGAAGCAATTGTGCGAAACGTTGTGCATTTTGTATATATTGCGCCAGTTAATCGAGAAATAAATTGCATTTGCTGATGAAGCAATTGACTCAATATATATTATATATATGCCTAATTTACCTAAATAGAAATCTTCCTCCTGAATGATAAGTCTATCGACCTAATTTCGAAATACGCGCGCGATATCGAAACTGGCGATACCTGCGCCGCCAGCGTCGAAAAAGTGAAAGTGACATTTCTCTGTTCTCTGTTTGTTACATGTATGTTATAATGAGATGAGAGCGGTCGACGTAGAAAGTATCTTAAAATAAAATTTTCACATTTGGATTTTGCGTCGCAATATCTCCGCTCGTAGGGCACGTAGCGGAATATTATAAGAGGAAACCCCCCCCCCTAATTGGACCCCAAGCTATCGATCAAGGCTACTTAGAACTTTGTAACGGCCTGACTTTTTCGTCGAACGCGGACTAGGTTTGCCGGATCGGGAGTTTGACTGAAAGGCCCAGAGACAATAATCAGTTTGTAAAGCACGCTAACATTTATTCAATTTGAGATGTACAGAGTGGAACGCGGTATATTACATACAAGTGACGGAACGCGGTATATTACAACGGTAGTGCATGTGCACTCGGCGCAGTATTACGAGGCGCGGAACAAGTCGCGGTATTCGTAATATTATATACAGTTGACGGAACGCGGTATATTACAATGGTAGTGCATGTGCACTCGGCGCGGTATTACGAGGCGCGGAACGGGTCGCGGTATTCGTGATATTACATACAGTTGACGGAACGCGGTATATTACAACGGTAGTGCATGTACACTCGGCACGGTATTATGAGGCAACGGGTCGCGGTATTCGCGATATTACATACAGTTGACGGAACGCGGTATATTACAACGGTAGTCGGGGCACGTGTGCCCGGTGTAGTATCGTGATTAGGATACGATGCAGCGCGCCTTCGGTACGATTAGAGCGTCGCGCGGGACGGCAAGAAAACCCGGGGCGGCGGCGGCGAGAGCGCTCGCTGCGAGACCGAGCGTGCTCGACCCCGCGTATCCGTGGCCGTGGGGTTCTAGGAAGGAGGTCGGGGACACCTGAGAGTACTCAGTCGTGGCGCAGAGCTCTGAACCGCGTTTGTGTGTCGCCCTAGGATGCGGGAGGCTTCGTCGGAAATGGCTGAAGGCCCGTAGGAGACGAAGTGTGTCTCTCTCGCCGGAGCGTCGGTTTATATACCGCTCGGCGCGGCGGTTTCGCTAGAAGGGAGGCCGATCGTCAGGCGAGTTGCGCTGTGGTGGGAGCGGCGCGCCGCCGCGCGCTTGTCTTCGGCGGGGCTCGGCTCCTGTCGGCGTCCGTCGGGAAGGCCCCGGTGCTGCGTCTAGCCCGCGCACTCGGGGTATTTGGACGTATTAAAAATGTGGGCGCACCGCGCCCTTGTCTTCGCCCGAATAATAATCGGTCGGGCGGCATCCGGCGGTTGTTGGCCGGGGACGATGCTTTGGCGAAGGGGTGCATCGTTACACCTTGATCCGTTCACTCGTTATCGAGATCTCAACATCTCGGGTACTCGCAACCCGTCACGTCGCGTAAAAGAGTCACGGTTGGTCTCGCTCCGCGTGTACTTGGCACGAGACACTACCGTGTCTCTTGATATTTGCAAATTTATTTTTATTCGCACATTTGATAATCTGATCTGATTTTCACACCTTTCAAAGTTTGACAGAATGACGCTTTTATTAACAATATGATCGGTTGCTCCCAAATCTGCTATAAAATTAATTAATTCTTTTGAATTATCTCTACTCTTTATTAATCTAATTGTACCTGACTCTGATTTATCTTCTTTAGCTTTGGCGGTTATTGTTGCTTTCTTTGCTTTAGCCTTGCTGTCTGGTTTAACTATCTTTCCTCTATTATTTACTCTTTTGGTGTTTGTTTGTTCGGCTTTATTCGGCTTATTTTTATTAAAATTTGTATTTTTATACCTTTTTCCTCTAAATCTTCCAGCCTGTGCTCCGGCGTTTGGACAGTCTTCTCCTTTGTAACCTTTAACTTCTTGGCAATAGTAACAGAACCAAGCTCCTGTTTCAAGCGGGCAGTCCTTAGCTATATGTCCTAACTTATTGCACCGGTAGCACTTTACAGGTTTTCCGTCTGCTTCTAATTTCGCTCTCTGTGCTCTAGCCTCTGTTTTCTCTAATTGCTCTTTCTCTATACTCTTTGTTTCTGTTTCTAACTGTGTAAATAAAAGATTTTATTTCATCAATATTCATTTCTTTTTGAGTTGTTTGTCTTCTGATCAAATCGGCATTCCTCAATTTTGGTCATTAAAAGCTACCGCCTGATAGAATGACGATCTGATTTCTTGCTCTGTGAGAGGCACTGCATTCTCACATGATTCATATTCTCTAACTATAGAGTCAAAGCGTTCGCAAAAATCATTTACTTTTTCATCTTTCTTCATTTTAATCTGATAGAGACGAGCTCTTACAGATGTATGAGTTACATTTCTTTCTTTCTTCTTATATCTTCTTAATTTCTTTAAAATCTCTGATGGATCTTTTTCATGCAAAATTCTCTTATGATAATTTGCATCTATATGATTAATTATGATATCTCTAACAAAACTTTTTTTTAGCGATTTTTAATTTTAAAAGATTTTTTGGACCTTTTATTCTTGCATCTATTACATCTAGCAAATCATTGTTCATTAACTCTGATTTTAAATAATCCATCCAGAGATCAAAGTTAGATTTCTGCGTAAACTTATACTCTCTTTTAATATGTAGTTTCTGATTATTTAAATCAATTTCTATCGCGTTTTTAAATGCTTCTAAATCTCTACTTTTATCTCTAATTTTGGCTGAGCAGATTGCTTCTTCTACTTTTCTCTTTTTTGGTTTTTTTTGTATTCTTTTCAATAAAATTTTCAAGATTATTTTCTTCTAAATTTTGTATATTATCGTTATTTACCTCTAACCGTCTAAGTTTCAGTCTTTCACTCTCTAAATTAGCCTCCGAAACTTGCACCATATTCTCTATCATAGAATTCGCCTGCGTCATCACCCTTTCCAAGGTTTTGAATGTGGTCTCTAATTTTCCAGTCATCGCCTCATTTCTCGCGATGAGTTTTTCTTGTTGTTCATACAGATCTTACTATCAATCAGAAGAATTGGTCTATCCTCTCCCACAAATTTTGGCAGTCGAATTTCTTCTGTGATTCGGGGTTTCTCTTTTGGTTTTGAGGTGGCCCCTCGTGTCTCTAGCTCTTTCTCTTTCTCTATATCTGTGTAAATGTTCAGATTATTATTTTAATTTCATCCTTGAACACATATACTTACACATTTGCTATCTCTAACCTTTTAATTTTTCTTTTATTTTACTCTTTGAACAATATTCTCTTATCTTTTTTTTCTATCATTTTTTTCTCTAGTCTACCAGGAGATTCTGGTTCTTCTCTACGCATCCTTTGTCTCGTCTAGCTCTATCCATCTATATCGGGATTTCAAATATCAATTGGACATAAATAATATTTTTTTTTTTCAAAACAAATTCAATATCCAATATATTGATATTATAAAATTTATAATTTTATCGTCGAGTTTTTTTCAACAATAAAACTTATTTATTGCTTACAAGACCATACAGAACGCACTGCAATTCATAATGATCTGAAAGCGACGCGCTTCGCCAGAACCATCCGCACACGCACACCACTATCCCGTGCGATCTCCAGCACTGCTGAAAAAATCTATAGGATATCGGGTTGATCACGCACGCGCACGGGACTCGTACAGATTTACGTGGCCTCCCTAAACAGCAATCAAGCTACACTGCACCGCAAGTCATGCTTGATCACCGACCTGATGCATGTCGATTTTGAAAAATAATTCCATACACATGCATATATATTGTCATGGTGTCGCATCGATGTTATATTTTTCTAATCGATCATGCGTCAGCGCGTGCCCGGCAACAAGTTCTTTGCGCCAAAAACAAAGACTCTCGCCGTTCACGATCGGACTTCCGCGCGCCAAAAAAATGACTCTCGCCGTTCACGATCGGACTTGCACGCGCACGTCGCCGGCTTGTTACCAAGCGGCATCTTTCTATCTCTTTCTATCACACATCTATTCTCTATTTCTCTTTTTCTATTGCACATCTATTCTCTAATTCTCTTAGAATTTAGTTAATTTCTCGCATCTACTTTTTATATTTCTAGTCTCTACTTTATCAGCGCTGTTTTTCGTGTACATCGACGATGATTTCTCTATCTCTCAAGAAGAAGGCAAAAACATCTATCTTCTTCTAACAGCATTTATCAAACGAACGTTCTTATTAGCTGAAAGTTCTCTCGTTTTGCTCGTCAGCAACGAGGAATATTATTTACTTACCCTCTAATCTTCTATTCTCTGTCTGCGTCTAATTCGTGTATTTGTCGTCGTTGCCACACACTTCTCACAGATCTTCCGCAGGACAAGCGTGCCCTGGGCCCATAACCTGTTGGAATTATGCTCTCCGCAGGGATCGAGATGGTGGTGGTGATTGATAACGAACGACTTCTCTATCTGCTGTTATATAACTCTTTATTCTCGACTCTATCTCTACACACAGTATAAGACACCGTGTGACGATACGCGTATTCGTCACTAGCGCTACGGCCCTGGCGGCCACCAAGCACATGTTCAGCGTGCGCTCCTGTACCCGAGCGGTGGGGCGGCCGAGCGGTGGGGCAGCCCCAGCGGTGGGACAGCCCCCACCGCCCGCACTCGGGGTATAAATAGGGGACTCGAGCCGACTCGAGTCACCAGTCTTCTCCGACTCCTGTTCCCGACACGACCATTCTCCGAGACCGCTTTACCACGTTGGGCGCTCCCAACGACTTCCTCCGTACCAAGAATGGGTGCTCCCGTTCTCACCTGGGCGCTCCCAGGGTACGGGCTTCCCCAGCTGGGTGCTCCCGGTTGGTATTACCTGCCTTTTTCTGCCTCTGGGTCGGGCGCTCCCGACCCCCTCCACCGTACGGAAGACGGGCGCTCTCGGTGTACGGGCCGCTCAGTTGGGCGCTCCCGGCTGAGCTCCTGACCGACCTACCTGCTCGCAAATTCCGCAAGGCAACCGTGCCTCCGTACTTGCCCGCGAATCCGCAAGGCAACCGTGCCTCCGTACTTGCCCGCGAATCCGTCAGGCAACCGCGCCTCCGCGCCTGTCCACAAATCCGTCTCTGTCCGACCGCGCCTCAACCCGGCACACGTACACTGCGGCTCAGCGAAGCAACACACACACACACGCACTGACACTCACGCCCTCCATCAAACTGTATTGTAAATCGTGGGAATAAATATCTTTATGTAAACTAACCAGTGTCTTCACGTTTTCTCACCCTGGCCTGGCGAGCGAATTCTGAGCGAGAAAACGCGAACGTTACATGGCGCCCAAACAGGGACAAGTTCCGTTCATCTGGCGGACGGAGGGTCCACCACGATACCCGGGACCATGACGCTCCCGGTAAAGATTGGCCGGAAGGTGCTGGAGCACGACTTCCTGATTATGCCATCGTTACAAAGCGCCGTGTTAATCGGCGTCGTCTTATGGGCCCGGACCGGGATCGTGCTACGGGCGACCGCACCGCGCAAAGACGCACCGACCTCCGCATGCGGAGCCGTAGCCCAGGGACTGGCCTCCCGAACCCCCGACGAGGAACGCCGTTTCCAGGAATTCCTGCTCACGGAACTCGCCCTATTCGTGGACATCCGCGGCCCGACCGACCGGATCTCGCACCAGATCCGGGTTAAGACCGACCGGCCCATTAAACAGCGATACCGACCCAGGAATCCGGCCATGCAGGCAGTTATCGACCGGGAGGTGGAAAAGATGGAACGCGAGGGCGTGATCAAGCCTTCCCACGGAGCTTGAAGCTCGCCTATCGTGTTGGTCCGGAAGAAAGACGGGTCGTATC